TCATGATGCAGTAGTATTATCCGACAGTGTAGTAATACATTTGAATGGCTGTAAGTGTGTGTGTGTGTATTAATGTTGTGATTGATATAATTAATGTCATACATGTGAATGTACTGCATGTGTGTTTACCTCAAAACAGCTCCTGGTGTCACAAAAGTTGTGAAATCTGTGTTCTTATTGCCATATATAGGTTCTTCAAACTATGAAACCACATGAAACAAGAAATAAGGAGGGTATTTTAAGAAAGGAAGAATAAAGCGAGATATAAAGAAGACAGATATATGAGAGGATAGTAGTAAAAGGCACTCAGAGAAAAAAAATTAGATAAAAGAGAAAAAGACAGAGATGAAGAGGGAAAAAAAAGACAATAAAATTACATAAAGAATATTGAGATCAAAGGTGTATGACTAATTCAAGCTTTGAAATTCCCCATTGATTAAGAACATCAGTGCTCTGTACTCACTTTTATAGGGACGGCCACCATGTATGACAAACTCCCCAGCTTTGTCTCGATAAAAGCCTTTTGAAAGATTTCACGTTTTTATGGACGTTTCATATTTTAACATCTGTAAACAAAGAAATTAAAACGTAAATATTAGTAGTGAAATTTTACAGTTGTACTCTAAAATAAAATGGTTATTTTTCTTAAATACTTAATTTCTGTCATATTAAACTTTTAATTAAGATTAGGCTTAAAGTAATGTCAGTTTTTTTTTTTTAACTCAAATATTTTGGTGGGTCGTGAAATAGATTACACTTGTCTAGGTGGGTCGTGGAATGGAAAAGTTTGGGAACCCCTGCTCTAGAGTACAAAAGAGCAACCCCCCTTGGCGCCAACCCGATTTGAGAGTTTAGATTATGTGAGTGCTTAATACCAAGATGAGTTGTCCAATGATTTATCACACCAACAAGAACAGATTAGAACCTCTCCAATTTAATTTAATTATCTATTACTGATGAAATGACAACATATGCGAATGTCAAAGAGGATTAGCCATTCAGACAGCCTTAATGAGAGAGAAACATCCAGACAGTGAAAGACAGAACACGTGTAAAAGAGAAGGCAAACATCTTCTGTTCCAGACATACAGAGGAGAGACTCTGATAGAGAGAGAGGCTCTGGCTCATTTTCAGATTTTTAGCAGCCATGAACTCCTGAGCCCCAGCCAAAAGCTTTCAGAGGGCACCTATCCCCTAGCCTGCCTGCAGGCTACCTACCCACAAATAGACTGTTTACGACCCTAAAAATGGCTGCACTTCCTGGGAGGTTTGGAGAGGAAGAAAGGAAGATAAGACTGGAACACTGTAGCAGGGAGTGTGGAAGAAGTCAACAGACAGAGAAAGACAAAAATGAAAAGAGGACATGACAAGGGAGAAGCAGAAAGAGGTCTCAGATGTCCATCAGAAACACAGATGCTTCTGACTTCAGACACACGACGCATGTACATTCATCTATGAAGGCCACTTCATGGGTTTATTCATCTTTGCAAGTTGTCATTTACCCAAAATGGCTTACAGTACAAGGACTTTATTACAAGGACAATCCCACAGGAGTAACTAGAGGCCCCTTCCTGCAGGTCTCACGATATGCTTTGCTTAAGCACATAATGGTAATACCTATTGGTTGTCCCTTTTGGGGACTCAAACTTGCAACCTTATGATTACTAGCTCAGTTCTAGGGGCAGGGTTGTCCAACCATGCTCTTGAAAGGCCAGAGTCCTGCAGATCTCCTACACAACTGCCTTGAAGTTTCTAGAAATCCTGAAGACCTGGATTAGGTGGTTCAGGTATGTTTGAGGGCTTGAGCTGAACTCTGCAGCACCGTGCCCCTCCAGGAGCAGGACTGGAACCCCCCCCCCCCCATCTCCTTTGTCATTTTATTGTGAAAAGTGCTTATCAATGCCCCTTTGCTTCTGAAATGCACCCTTCACATTCCCTTTTGCAAAGCCTGCAGACTTTACAGCAGAGTAGTACCCAACAATCTATACAGAAATACTTCACCAGGGTATTGAATCGAAGGAGGACTGTAGGGACAGAGTGTACCATTTGGGATCGGGTCTATGCCACACCACCCTTCCAATTCATTGTAGAATGTAGGGCAGAATTTAATCAAGCTGTTTCCTACTGCTGAAAAGGTAGCCTATAGGTTAACATACTTCTTCATGGTCACATGGGAGATTTAGTTATGAATCCAGTCTGCATTGTGTCTCTGTGACTTTCCCCCTTAATGTCCTGCATGAAAAAAAAATGCTTCCAACTGAAGTATACCAGGCAAAGCTTAGAGAGAAGCAAACCCAACCATCCAACAAGGGCTCTTTACAACAACTACCTCAGAGTACAAAAGAGCAAGTCTTTTCGTCTTAAGAGCTAAATTAGTCTACCTGCCTTTTTGGTAGGAAAATTAAAGGCTGACGATTCCACTGACAAAGTGCTGAGTATAAAAAGGGCCAGTTAAACATCCACTCCATATCAATGTCTGCATAAATACTCCTGCAGATCTGACTGAGGCTGTGCCAGAGGAAAGTGCTGATTTGCTCCCAGATTCCTCTAAAGTATGTCCAGGAAAAGCAGGAGTGAACTGAAACCTGCTTTGCACACATTTATCCCCCTCAACAAAAAAAAAGCTCCCTCAATGGCTTTGGCCTATCCTCCTTTCATGAAATCAGAATGGGCAACTTGCGCTCCAGCTGGGATAAGCATGTGAGACAGATTGCCACGGCAAATGAACAGTGTTTGCATATGTTTTTGGGCCGTATTGACAAGTATGTGAAGGTGAACCCAGGCTTGAGCTCTCGTTTTCAATTATGTCAGTCCTGTTGACATAACCATTTGGAAGTGCTAAACTAATTGCAGGACTGCAAGACATTTTGGACTTGCCCTGTGGGTCACTTGGCAAGAAGTCTGTAGAAAGAAGTCAGTGAGGATGATGATTAGCACCTTGCCTCTATTAGTTTCCCTCTCTTTCATGGATAATTTTTCACCTTGACAATTTCCTCCCAAAATTCACCCTGGTTAACCCTCCATCCCACCAGATGTGTAAGTTTACTGACAAAAACCACCTGCTTTTTAACAACTCACCCACCAGCCACCTGTTAACTTTGGCCCGCAGTAAAAGATTGGAAACTGCTAAACAAAGAAAAACCCAAACCAATGGCAAATCAAAAACAGGTGCCATGCCATTCAAATGAGATTCTCACAGAACTGGTGCCAGTCCTCTCAGTCATGATTCTCAGACAATACAGCAAGATGTGCTGTATTATGTTCCAACAAATCTCAAGGTAATGAGATAGCAATTCCATAAGTTGTATTTCCTGGATGTTTTCAATGGAAACACTAGACTGGAAACCTTCTCTATAGACAAGCGTCACCTGAATGAAGACTCCAAATGTTTGTACTGGTAGTTGCTCAAGTTCTCCCAAACTCCTAATACCCTTTAACTCCCAAATTTTGTCCAGTTTGTCTATGAATGTTACCTAATTATACACCAATACATTTTTCTTAATATTTCACTGGCCAATACAATGCTATTCCTGGGATTTATACTGACACCTGTTGGCACGGATGAAGCATCTGCAAAAACAAATTAAACTGATAATTTAAAACTGATACATTATCAGTTATCATTGCCATTACAAAACAACCCTAGACAGACATATTTTTCGCCATTAAATAATTGATTCCACGACTGAATGTAAGTAGTGTTTAGCTGCCCATATAATCGTAACATGGCACCTTGAGCGGTGACCCGCCCCATGCATTATAAAATATCTTTTTCTAGACCATGACTGGATACCTCATCTCATATGAGTGTACATACTACTAATACATTTAGAACATTTATATTGCTCAGTGCAGATGAGAGATGATACACCTTCTACTGCACTGTAAAAAAAAAAAAATCGTTTAAAAAGATATGAAAATAATAAAATTCCCTGACAAAAAGAACATCTTACATGTTGAAGGATGCACTTTCTTCTTTGTGGCCTTTTACCTTATTTAAAGTGATTTTACCTCATTGTAAAGTTTTACAAATATCTTTAAAGGTAAAGATAAAAAGACTTATTTTAGAAAGTGGACAATAGTTCCTTGGTGCACTTTTAAGTACAAAATAGCAGCAAAGTGACAACTAACATATGAAATTTCGTTACGACTTTGGAACAATAAATGTCACATAGTTACACTCTTTCTAGTACTTTATGTTGAGGAAGAGGATAGAACAGAAACTTGAATTACCTACTAAAGAAATGGGTACTTTAGGTGATTTCTTGAGATTCATGCAATTATAAGCTTACTTTACGTCACTAGCAATATGTATACAAATATATAACAACTATGAAGTATGACGTAGATAGGCAAAGGCAATAATTGCAAACAGTATGTGTAAATATGTGTGTGAGTTCAAACATTTCCGGAAGATCCTGTTTGAACCACTGGCAATCCTGCCGAACATGTTTTGACTTGTTCTGAAACAGATATGAACACACACCAAAATTGTCAAAACATTCGAGCTGGAGTATGAGACAACTGGACAGTTGGTCCATCTCCACTGCGAGAGATCAAAAGGTCAAAAACGTTTTCAAATGATACCATCTCATAATACCACTTCAGGCTAGCACTTATCTGAAGTGGAGAACGTCTGAAGAACACAGTTCCTGGAGCATGTACATCTTTCTCACTGAAATTAAACCCTTCTAACCCGTTGAAACATGGAAGGTACGCCATGACCTTTGACAACCCCTGAAGAGCAAACTTTTACCTTTTGACCCTTAAGTTCTCAACATTTACTTCCCCCAGGTCCCTGTAGTCTTAAAGGGGTCATATGATGCGATTTCCAGTTTCCCTTTCTCTTTGGAGTGTTACAAGCTGTTCGTGAATAGATCAGATCCCTAAAGTTGCAAAGACTAAAGTCTCAAACCCAAAGAGATATTCTTTATAAAAGTTAAGATTGGTCCATGCCCTCCTAAAACGCCTCATTTAAACACGCCCCCACATGTCATAAGTATGTTTTCATATGTAAAAAATTTGCCACTGACAATACAAACGGGAGTTTTGAGCAGTGTAGAGTAGGGCTTGTTGTTTGTCGTTTCTCCGGATCACAATATGGTTTTATGTTTACGTGGCGCGATGCAACGCAATGCGTAAAAAGTCAGTATAAGTCATTATAATCAGTAATTATGTCCCCACTGGATGCAACAAATGCCTTGTTTATAATGGGTTTTTATAGTTTTTGTCTCGTCGTGCTGGGACACGGCATCACAGTATGGTAAGGGGCATAACATTTCCGTCACATGCTTGAGGTATTCGGCCAATCACAATGCACTGGATAGCTGGCCAATCAGAGCACACCTCGCTTTTCAGACCGATGAGATTTGTAAAAATCGACGCGTTTCAGAAAGGTGGGGCATAGAGGAGAAACAATAATGTACAGTATGTGGAAAATAATGTGTTTTTTGAACCTTAAACCGCATAAACACATTTCATTACACCAATACACAAAATAATGTTCTTTTTAGCAGCATCATATGACCCCTTTAATGTTTGTTGCTTTCCTCAGCACTTTCCCTCATTTAAAGCAACAGTTCACCCCAAAATGCTGAAAATGTATTCCCCCTTAGGCCATCCAAGATGTAGATGAGTTTGTTTTTTCATCAGAACAGATTTGTAGAAATGTAACATTACATCACTTGCTCACCAATGGATCCTCTGCAGTGAATGGGTGCCGTCAGAATGAGAGTCCAAACAGCTGAAAAAAACATCACAATAATCCACAAGTAATCCACACCCCTCCAGTCCATCAGTTAATGTATTGTGAAATAAAAACGTTGTGTGTTTGTAAGTAACAAATCCATCAAGACTACTTGTGTGGATTACTTGTGGATTATTCTGATGTTTTTATCAGCTATTTGGACTTTCATTCTGACGGCACCCATTTACTGCAGAGGTTAACAATTTTGACACAGACTAACAATTTTGAACACTTATAAAATGTGTAATGTAGCCTATAGATGGATCAGGAAATATCACAAGCCAGGCTTGAACCTACATCATCCACATGAGCACCACGGCACAATGTTCACTAACCAATATGCCACAGTCCAGACATTTCCTAGAGAACATTTCCACCCATCTCTTGCAAATGGGCTGTGCTTTGTCATTCATCTCACAAATGGGGGAACAGCATTTCTCCATGATATGTCCTCAGAGGATCCATCACATCTCAGAAGCTTGTGCAACCGAGATTATGTCATGCGCCTTCTCCGAGATGGTCCTAATTCAAAACTTCATGTGAAAACAGACAACCGTAACTATCAACAAGCTCAACAAATAGCTACTACTAACATAAAAGTATGTGTAATGATGAACAGAGCCACAAATTAGCCTAATTCAGAAAAGACCTTGAGATCATTTGCTAAGCGTTAGCATTGATATATTATTTCTCAAACAGCTTTGACACACTGGCGATAAACTAAAACGATTGCAGGTTGAGATTTTAAACAAGAAACTTGGCAGGACATCACAGGTGCAGGATGACAAATCAAGCTCATTATAGCAGCCAGACACTGGATGGGAACATCAGATTGTCTAACCAGTCTTCCCAGAGTGAACTTTATTAGAAAAGCTGCTTTCCGTTAGAAGACAGCAGGAGTTTTACAGTGAGTAATGAAGCTCTGAGGAACATTAATGGCCGTTAAATGCTGGCGATGATGATCAGGACAAAATAAAACTTGAACCTTCAGTTTCCACAGCATACCTGAGACTATTCCTATTGCAAAACATAGTGAGCTGCCTACATAGATAGCATTTTAAGACATCATAAGTGCGTTCCTGGCATTATTTTAGCTTTGCGCCCATCTATATCCTAGTGTAGTCTTAAACTGGAAAATTTTACTGGAATATTGACAGTTTATTACTGTCCTCTTTTTAGAGCTGCTTTACAGCATAATTGAATTTTGTTTACATTATTAAAATACAATTTTTCTGTTTCCACTTCTGTATCATATAAAGTATCATATAAAGCACAATATAAATAAAGGTGACTTGACGTGACTTAAACAATGATATTATTCATTTAATACATAATTAAACACATAATTTGAAACACAATTCAAACTTAAACAAGTCTTTCTCTTTAGGAATAATAGACCTAAAATATTGATGACTCTTTTGCACTTTTGTCTAATCAAATGCTCTTTAGAATGAGAATTTCTTGAGTGAGAACTATCTCCTTTTAATCAACTGAAGAAGCAAGTTTTTTTTTTTTTAACTCTGCTTCAAAAAACTAAAGAGAAATGAAGAGGTTTTTTTAATCACTTTATGAAGCCACTGTAAAGTAATCCTCATATATCCTGTCATATTTCGTACATTTAAATTAGCTAGTTTTATTGTATATGAAAACAACAACAACATAAAATATAGTCAACTATAAATGTGGCACCTTTCTCAGAAAATGAACACATCCCTCAAAGAAAACATGGATGATTTCACTAAATATCTGTGTGCTCCATGTATTATTTGTGATAATTAAAGAATAACAATGTTAACTTGTGACCATGCTAATGTCAAACTCTACTGAAATCTCCATGTGGTTGATGTGAGGAACGCTATTCTACATACTAGTTCATGAGTGACCATTATGCAAGTTGTTGCTTATGTACAGTGTCTCAAATCAGTCACATACAAGGTTCCATGATGGTTAGCATGCTTCGCTACAACACATTTTGTACGTTTTGTAACAGAGCTAACACAAGATGGTGCAGCAAATTATTACAATCAGGATTCTGATACCAACTAAATGTATGGATAAGAAATTTAGGCCTGTTAATAGTTGAAAAACATTACTTAAAGCTTCTGCTCCCTGACAGTCAATACATTTGCATGCAACCAAATAATCTTTATATTCAGATTGATTGCTCAATTGGACTGAAAAGTCTTCATGTAAACTCCTCAATCGATCTGATTAAACCAAATAATATTTCGATCTGACTGAAATGGGTGCTGTCCCTTATGAAAATTAACCATGATTTTACTGCACATAAAACCAAAAAACCATGGTTACTAAACCATGGTAACCATGGTTTTGCTACACTAACCATAGTTGAACCATGGTATTTGCAGTAAAACTGTGGTTATACAAATGGTAATCAACCAGTGTGTGCTGTGATTGGCAGCACTCGGCGCCTGTTCGGGAAATGTCATGCCCCTTACCATAGCCGCTTGCTGCGAGCTTCATTGTAAATATTACGTTAATATCAAATCAGTTTGAGCGTGATTTAAACCGGGATGATTGTAACCACTCTAAGTTTGTCTGCCTTGGGAAAGCTAGCGTGTCTCCGGCACAGTGATAACACTCGTTGCCTTCTCTAGTGCAGCGCAACCAGGTCTCGTCCCATTCGTCGATATTTGTGATATCACAAATCCCAGTTTTTGAAAAGTGATTTCTGTTAAATCAGTAAAACTGTGGTTATACAAATGGTAATCAATACGCCAAAAATCCATGTTTTTTTTTTCGTAAGGGGTAGACCTAAATAAATTGATCAAGAGGAAAAATTAGGTATGTAAACGCTTGAATCTGACAATTACCTCAGATTCAAAAATACCTTGCACACATATGCAGTGGCGTTAAGCATACATTGTACGCCTTAACATGAGTATGTTTATTCACACCTCACGCCTTAAAGGGGTCCTATTATACTCTTTTACAAAGTCTTGATTTTGTTTTGGGGGTGTACTAGAACAGGCTCTCATACTAGGTTGTTCGAAAAACACATTATTTTTCACATATTTTACATTATTACAACACCTCTCTCCCCAGTCTGGCATGAACGGCTCGAATAGTTCCTGTATCAAATGAAGACCTGCCTTCGGAAATATGAAATGTGCTGTGATTGGTTAGCTGAGCCAGTGTGTGTTGTGATTGGCAGCACTCGACACCTGGTCGGGAAATGTCATGCCCCTTACCATAGCCGCCTGCTGTGAGCTTCAGTGTAAATATTGCGTCAAAATCAAATCAATTGACCGGGATGATTGTAACCACTCTAAGTTTGTCTGCCTTGGGAAAGCTAGCGTGTCTCCGGCACAGTGATAACACTCGTTGCCTTCTCTAGTGCAGCGCAACCAGGTCTCGTCCCATTCGTCGATATTTGTGATATCACAAATCCCAGTTTTTGAAAAGTGATTTCTGTTAAATTAAATATCTTCTTTTGAAGTGGACTTTGAGCTTTGAAACTTTGCAGATCTTTTTTTATGCTCAAACAGCAACATTACAGACTAACTAAAGTTGAAAAAGTGAAAAAGCATAATAGGACCCAACTGTCCAGTAGAGGAGACTGTATATTCTCTGAATATTTGCTAAAAAACTCTTCTGACATATTTGTCAGCTTTCTTTTTAGATACGTCATCAAGACAAAAACAGCAATATGCACAGTAGCTTTCACGACATAATCGCAGTGGCTTTCTCTGTTTCTGGACTCGGAATGAAATGAGCATGTAAATGAATGAGTGAATCGGATTGAAATATTTAGGCCTCATATAAACAGAACTTTCAGAATTCCGAGTGATGAAAATGAGTACATGTAAATATACCAGGTGGGATTAGACTACGGGTTACAAGGTGAAATTGAACAGCATATTACGTCTTTCATCCTTGGGTTTAGACTTATTTTACTTAACAGTTTTTAGACATCTGGTGATGATTCCTCACTGCAACTTTACTCTAATGTATATAGCAAACTCTGAGAGAGCAAAAACAATCCAAAAAGTCACTAGGGCAGTTCTCTCCTGCCTGCATCAGATAGCCAGACTATTTTAGTGCTGTCTATAGTCAAAGTATACATTGCGGCCGATGAACTTGTGTGCACTGCGGGTGGAGAAGAGAGAGAGAGGGGGCATATCAGGAGACTCTGTTCGTTTTCGGAGATTGACATCAGGGTCCTGGCAGGAGTATCATAACTGGTCTGGAATGGGGCTGTTTGTAAAGAGAGTGTAAGGGGATGATCTTGACAAGAGAGGGGTAAGCGGACACACACACAGTCGACAGATCGCGCTACCACAAAAGGACAAAATGCCTGGCTGTTGAAACAAACCTTCTTCAT